TACACACCCTCCTGTTACACACCGTCCTGTTACACACCCTCCTGTTACACACCCTCCTGTTACACACCGTCCTGTTACACACCCTCCTGTTACACACCCTCCTGTTACACACCGTCCTGTTACACACCGTCCTGTTACACACCCTCCTGTTACACACCCTCCTGTTACACACCCTCCTGTTACACAATACACACCGTCCTGTTACACACCGTCCTGTTACACACCCTCCTGTTACACACCCTCCTGTTACACACCGTCCTGTTACACACCCTCCTGTTACACACCGTCCTGTTACACACCCTCCTGTTACACACCCTCCTGTTACACACCGTCCTGTTACACACCGTCCTGTTACATACCGGCCTGTTACACACCCTCCTGTTACACACCCTCCTGTTACACACCGTCCTGTTACACACCGTCCTGTTACACACCGTCCTGTTACACACCTTCCTGTTACACACCCTCCTGTTACACACCGTCCTGTTACACACCCTCCTGTTACACACCGTCCTGTTACACACCGTCCTGTTACACACCGTCCTGTTACACACCGTCCTGTTACACACCGTCCTGTTACACACCATCCTGTTACACACCGTCCTGTTACACGCCCTCCTGTTACACACCGTCCTGTTACACACCGTCCTGTTACACACCCTCCTGTTACACACCCTCCTGTTACACACCCTCCTGTTACACACCCTCCTGTTACACACCCTCCTGTTACACAATACACACCGTCCTGTTACACACCGTCCTGTTACATACCGGCCTGTTACACACCCTCCTGTTACACACCCTCCTGTTACACACCGTCCTGTTACACACCGTCCTGTTACACACCGTCCTGTTACACACCTTCCTGTTACACACCCTCCTGTTACACACCGTTCTGTTACACACCCTCCTGTTTCACACCGTCCTGTTACACACCGTCCTGTTACACACCGTCCTGTTACACACCGTCCTGTTACACACCGTCCTGTTACACACCGTCCTGTTACACGCCTTCCTGTTACACACCCTCCTGTTACACACCCTCCTGTTACACACCCTCCTGTTACACACCCTCCTGTTACACACCCTCCTGTTACACACCGTCCTGTTACACACCTATACCTACCATTTGTAATTTTATTCCGTAACTTTCATCCCTGAGAATTTACGACGTTTAAATTCCAATTTTAAAGGTGTTATAATATCGTAAATATCGCAAATCGTTTAATAAGTCACACCCAAAACAGCCTGTTGAAATCTGCCTCTAACATTTCTAATTACCCACTTCCCTTAAATGTTTTTATACGTATAAATGTTATAAATAATAATTACATAAACGTTATAATATCATTATAATTTATAGTAAGTTGCTTTAGCTCACAAGGTTTCTTAAAGTGGCGAACTTTTAGGAAAAGTGAAACCTGTTTGATGCTAGCAAGATCTTCGATGAATAAAATTAGGATTGATCCAAATTTTAGACAAAAGTTTATAAATTTGGCTGGATCTTGTTCATGGCCGATTAGTGTGGCTTATTTACCTTATTATAGGTTCACAAACGACTGTAAAATGTGCTGGAGGCATCTACATACCACATCTGTTCCGGAATTTAATTGTTTCCAGCATTCCACTGTGTTAATTGCCGGGAAGCCTTTAAACATTTCGATGAATTAAAGATCTTGAACAAGTTAGCGTTCATAAAACCTGTAAGTCCAGTGAAGCGAATTTGCTAAATTCAGCTGAGCTATATAGATTATACTATAATCATTATAGGGGCTGTATTCTTATTAAAATATTATTCGCTGACTAGCAAAAATGTATTTTATAATTTATAATCCCATAATTTGATGAATGTGTGATATTTCTTGGAGTCATATTTTATATTGATAATTAAAGTGTTTTCTATGGCACCAAATTCATAATTTACACAAGCCATTTAAAAGGCCCGGAAATTGAATTTATTAACCTCGCAGACTTGGAGTGCCATTCACCAAATATAAGGTTTTATTACACAGTGAGCGTTGAAAAGTTGTAAGTACACAACACATCAGTCAACTTAATCATGTGTCATTCCTCCAACGTGTAATACTATTAATAACAAGGAAGTACAAATATACAAATATCAACCAGATCCTGATCCGTATATAGTGTAAAATTAGATAAGTACTAAGTAGTAGTGATTATATTAGATAAGTACTAAGTAGTAGTGATTATATAAGATTATATTAGTTTCACTCCTAGAACACTGTTTACAAAAGTACAAAGTTTTAGTTTACTATTTCACTCCCTACTACAGCTATAAACCTAGCACACTACCCCCCCACTGTTTACAAAGTCAGTATTTTCCGCTCAATTAACTTCACCAACCCTGCATAACTTCTATGAAAAGCAGGAAAACACGTGATATCAATCCCAGCGTTTTGATTGGCTAACACGATCTCAGCTAGGCCCTGATTGGCTCACACGATCTCAGAATGCCCACGTGACTTGTGTTCAAGAGCTGATCTGTCAATGTGATCTCCTTCTCAACTTGTCAGACCGGTAAACTCCTTTTGTTCAGGTACTAATACTGTCTGTCTGAACTCTATAAACAGGCAATCCTGCGTAAGAGATGAAGGTTTAATGAACTCTGGTGTAATTTGTACCTAGTATTTCAGGGTCACATTGTTAATATTCAGCGTCATGCGCCCTTAAATAACTTGTAACAACGGAACTACCATTTTCAGAGATCACGAGTACAATATACCTCTTACAAATATCTGCCAGAACTGCACTCACAGTTCTAGCTTTCTAGCACCAGTCTCCTTCATTACGTCCCCTCTACCAACCAATACAAGATTAATTTAATAAACCCCAAATCCTCTAATAATTCCTCTCGTGCACCAATGAGCCTGCAGGTGAGCTCACCCGAAGGAAGGAAGCATTAATTCTTATCGTCTTACATCAGACCTCCGTAATAATGAGATTTCGACACTATTGAATTTCAGTTTTCAGTGCAACACTACTCAGTGTTACGTACATTAGGTAATGCATCGTTCCATGATAAGCATGGTGTCATTGTCCAACGTTTTAAAAGATTGCTATCACATAGTCATCTAACTCGGATTCTCCTTTTTAAACTAGTTCTAATTTATTTTTGCAATAATCTCAAGCTGGCACGAGGATTTTCTCAACACTTATAAATATTTTCTAAATACGACATAGAATTGAAATTAGCGGACTTTATGTTATTATCATACTACGTATTATAAAATGTAGCATATTGTCTAGCGTCACCAGAAGAAGTAACAGTAAGTAACAGTAAGTAACAGTAAGTAACAGTAAGTAACAGTAAGTAACAGTAAGTAACAGTAAGTAACAGTAAGTAACAGTAAGTAACAGTAAGTAACAGTAAGTAACAGTAAGTAACAGTAAGTAGCAGTAAGTAACAGTAAGTGGCTCCACAGGGTTGGGACTAGCGACACAACATGCGGCCCTCGGTGATTTGAGTTACCAATGACCTATTTAACCATATCCAGTAGCAAAAAACTCTATACATCGAAGTGCACACTCAACTCCTCCCTGCTACTGGAGTATGTGTAGATTACACTCTCCAATTGATGGAATTTTACCGTGTAGTGACTAGTTATTATTGTTATCGTAAATAAGTGAAATTCCTGGAGGTGTTCGAGACAAGAATGCTGGACCCAATTTTGTCATAATGGGGGCAATATCCGCTTTAAAGGGTGCCGAGGCTATTATATAAAGTTAATTAAATACGCCTCAGCTTCCTTAATATAATACTTAAATGAATATTTAAATGTATGAACAACATGCGTAATCTTCTACATCTGCAATCTTCCATCCCGATCTAGGATAGGAGCAACTATATTCCACTCAGAAGCCACTGTATTTAAGAATCCTTATCATATTATAGGGAAAAGCTCTTAGACTTAAGTTTTACAATTTGAACTGCAATGTTGAAATGGAAACACTATTGCTCAAATTCCTCCACACTTTTGAACCTCTGAGACTGTGTAAGTTACGGTATCTGAAGTGCTTTGTATGTGATCGCTGACCAGGCAAATATGTTGCCCGCCCACCCCCCCTCCCCCAACCAGTCTCCGATATTATATTATCATACACCATACGATAAAGGATTCAACCTTTAGTTACTGATAATATCTTGATTTTATCTTCAACTTGATATTTATAATGCTTTTATAATCTTATCCCCTTGAGAAATGGTGATAATGGATATTTTAAGATTGTATTACATATTTATAGATTTTAAATTATATCGATCCGTTAAGTTGTCCATTATATTTACATATATAAGAGAGGTGAGTATATTATGGCATATACTTGAATGAGAACACACACAGGAAGAAATATCTTATGTGTAGTAGTGAAATACTCTAGTTATACTGTACTAGTTATATATAAATAGTATATAATACTCTAGTTTAAATACTGTAGTAATAGTTTTTGTGGATTAGACTGTCTTTATCGTGATAACATTTCCACTGCCAGAACATAGCATACAGCACGCAATCTGAACAACTCTATATTTACCCTTCAGCCCCCAATACAGACTACTACTATACTACTATACATGGCGTACCAGCTGTTTAATGGAGGGAAAATGTAATGTCCTCGGAACAAACCGTATATTCACAGTTCATCCCGGCCTTGCACAAATCAAATTTTCAGCTACTTGAAAGTTTTCCTGCAGAAACTATTTGGAAGTGAGCCAAGTGTGGCAGTAGTGGCCCAGTAGCTCACAGTGGCATGGAAGGCAGTACATAGTCCAGTAGACGTGTTAAACACTGTCCAATGAAGGAGTTATAATCACACCATGTGACCAGCCCTCATCCAATTACAGAGAAGATCCTGTTTTTGCGTTTTATTTTAACTACACAGCGGTTAGTTTGAGATAAGACCTCTTTAACCGCTAGTCAGTGGCAGCTACACTAGAATTTTCTAAATAGTTTAGCCAGGTACGAAGACAAAAGAAAACTAAGTTCTCATTAAATAATGTATTATAAAAACTTGAAGTTTATCAGTTTATCATAGCGAAATGTTCGTTACTCGATCGAACATCTTTCAAGTTAAAACATCAGTCTCTGGATAAAATATGTTTTATCATCGAATTCTGTCAGTTTAAGTTTAATCTAAAGGGGTTTTCAACTAAATTTTATAAGAAACTAAAGGAAAATGCTATAAAATGGAATGGATCTGAACAAAAACCTTGAAAGCTTAATATTATAAAGTATTTTCAGTGTTTACTTAACTCAGCAGTAAAATTAATAGCTGCGTGAAATTGATCAAAATTGTTTCTGACTGGAGTAATATCATGGATCTGAACCAGTGCTCTTTAGATAAGCAGATAGTAAAAGGGAAACTGGTTGTAAAACTTAAAATTCGAGTATGAATAAGAAATTAACCATAAAATCATTATAAAATACGGCCAGCATTTACATTCGTTTTGAGCATTTCTGATAATTAATAAAACTGAAAAGTGCGTGTATTCTCTCGCTGTTTGAAATAGAAAAATTCGTCTAAAGAATCGATAATTACGATTTGGAACGGGAGAATCAACGCAAAATTCAATGCTATTGTGTATTTTACATTCAACATAATATATCGGTGCTCTATATTTAAATTTACAAACTGATATCCAACTATTTTCTAAGTGTACGCATTTGAAATTGGGTCTGACTGACACAGGGAAGTTGTCTAACAAATCCTATAATACTGACACCCTAACTGTCAGTCAGACACCTAATAGAGAATGCCATAATCAAATGGCAATTTGAGAAACTTATATCTATTGAAAGGTTGTGACAATTATAGTTGCGGTTTGTATCATAAGCATCATACTATGTACTATTATAAGGAACAATATTACTCATCAAATATGAAATAACTAATAACTGCAGAAGTTAGGACAACAATTAGTTCAAATTCAAAGTCAATAATCTTACTACAAATAAAAGCGTCGCAAAATAATGTTGTTTAAATCAATCATAACATTATTGTGTTTCAGACACCCGGCCTGATAGCCCTGAAACAAAACAAACCGTTCAAATTGAATAACAACAAGTTACTAACAAGTTACCAACAAGTTACTAACAAGTTACTAACAAGTTACCAGTCTCTTAACCTGAATTCCATTATAATAGTGATAATGAGAGCTACAGTCTTGATGATTCGGAAATGGTTTTATTCACAATAATATCTTCTTTTATTTTCACTAAAGACAGATCCCCGCGAGACAGCCTCAAACAAATACGCATAATATACATTGTCTTATGTTGATCTGACTTTTAATTCGGGAATCCGGTACTTTCTGCCAGCAGCTGTGATCTTTTCTTACAAATCATCATCTTTCTCATCTCCCCAATTTACAAGCGTATTCCTAGGATTGGCGTACAGTTTTACCTAGATAGTTTCAATCATCTCTACAAATACCACTCCTGATCCTTTGACGTTGGGTTCAAGTCCGTGTATTCATTACCAAAGTCCTCGCCATTAGGGGATGTTTCCTTTGTTTCCTCTAGTTTATAGCTGCCCTTATCTCTGAAGTGGAACCGGTACCCCACGTACAGCAGGACGACAATGACGACGATTCCCGCAGACACGACACAGATGATGATCACTACGGAGTTGTTGTTCTCATCGTCTCCGGTAGCAGCCTCAGTGTCCGTCACATCAACAGTGTTAATGTTATAATCGTCTTCACCTTCTTCACCCTCCGTCTCGTTATCAATAACCTCTATAGGAACAGCTGTCGTGGGATCGGGTTTAACAGTTTCAGGTTTATCTGTTGTAGGTTCATCAGTGACTACTGGAGGATCTGTTTCTACCTTAGGGTCGGTTACTGGCTGAGGCAGCTTCTCTGTGGGCGTGGTCTCCTTATCAGTGGGCTCCACAGGTTGGGTAGTCTCGATCTTAGGGAGAGGAGTGGTGGGGGCTCTAGTGGTGGCAGCTTTAGTAGTTGGAACTTTAGTAGTGGGAACTTTAGTAGTGGGAGGTTTAGTTGTGGCTGGTTTAGTAGTAGGAGGCGGGGTAGTGGGGCACACTACACTAGTATCAGGAATATCACCTGAGCACACCCCCTCGAAGTAGACAGCATCTCCTGAGAGGTGCTCAACAGGGAACCCACAGTCATCAGCCGGAAGGAGGTCCACACCGGGGAAGGAGAGAAGGGAGACACATCCCTTCAGGTGGGGTCCTATCATCACTGTTGACAGGTCCATTCGTCCTGAACCACTCTTTCCGATCAGGTAGTTTTGACCTGGAATAGTTGAAAGATTAATTTTAGTTTTAGCAGAAAAAAGGCTGAAAACAAATTAACAGCAAAGTGAAACAAAACGTCTAGTTTAGTAGTCTATGCTAACCATAACGTTTGAAGATTGAATCTAAGAATTATATATTATATTCAACTCTATATAACACTCTATTATATACTCACAGTAGTAGTTGGATTCACTCTGTTCAAGTCCCTCTATATCAAGTGTGAACCTCTGGCCTGTCTTATCAACCGTGATGAGCTTGTCTGAGAAGTCATACGGAGACATGCCGATACAAAATGTGGTAGCACTGAAGTCTTGTGAGGATAATGCTGAAACAAAAACGCTTGTTATTTTCCAAGTCATAACTTTATAGAAATAATTAATCTGTTTTTGCTTATAATGTGATAATTTGCGCTCCTCAATAGTTAGATGTGATGTTTTATAAAGGAGCACTCACGGGAACTAATGATGACCATGAGCAGGGGAGGTCCATCTGGCATACCACTAGCCATCAGCTGGAACGCCATGTAGTCGAACAGATCGTTAGGTCCACTGGGCGATCTCACTGTTATGATGTCGATAGGTGCTCCATCTCCTGAAATTGACGAAGGTCACACTATGAAATAAAATACCTCATATTATATACAGGTATATATCCTTTATTATATTATATGAGTATTGCTGAAAGCACAGTGTAAGGCCTACACTAATATATATTATATACAGATACAAGTGCATAGTTTAAACATGGTCTCCAGGAGGATGATCACCTGTGCCATGATAAAATGTGAACCAACCTGTCGAGAAGAGATTATTGTAATAGCTGTAGTCCAAGTTTAACTTGACCTTCACCAGAGCATCTGTATAGTTTAAAGGACTGTCGTAGTTGTAGGTCAGGGTCGTGGCCGGATCGTGCAGATTTAAACTGTCTGTAAGTAAACACACCGTTAACATCAGTTATATTATGAGCATATTTATTGTAGCTTTAAAAATGAGCAGATTTGAGTCTGCACGTTGAGCACTTTAGAGCGTTTAAAAAGTAAAATTTTTATTTAAGATCATGCTTGCAGTTTGTACTTACATTCCGCAAACGCTGATATGAGAAGAGCCGAGAGATTGAGAATTCCTAATAATAATGCCATCTATACCTATTTCAGGAGTATTGGGTCAGACATATATAATTATAACATTTTCATCTTTTAGCCATAAATGTATGATCAATGATCATAAAAATGTTAATAAGATAATAATCAAAAAATAATAATTATATTCATTTTCAAAATATGTAGCACTGAACCTCGAACAAACTAGGACAGAGTTTAATCCAAACTAGATTTGAATGGTCTTAACATAAAGCTTTACGGTTTGGATTTAAAACTATGATTGAACTAAACAAAGTCCAAGTCTGAAGAGTGGCTGGAGGGCGGAGGCCCTGCAAAGAAAACACTGCACAGAGAAAACGTAGTGATGTGAAATAGCAAAACTTCAGGAGGTAAATGTTGAGAACAAATTAATAAAAGGCGAAATGTTTGGGAGATAGAAAGACAATAGAAAATTTCTTGAAGTAAGGTATGCACCTGAAAAACACTAGAACTGTGTGAAATGTACAGGAATGTTCTGGTCCGGAGAGTGAATCTTCACAAACAGGCGAAAAAGAATGCGGACACTGGTTGCTAGGGTTTATAAACTCAGGAAAGTAACCATGGTAAATAGTGTTACAAATTACAAGCAACAATAATATAAATGTGATGAAGCAGCAGATAATATCGCACCGTGACGCACAAATCAGGTATCACGTCAGCACTTGTAGGGAAGCAGTGTAAAACAATACCTACAGGTAATGTACTTGTCGGCAGAATGAGAAGGAGATTAGGGCAGTATTATAACGGGGAAAGCTGACCCCGATATCGGTAAAAATATAACAGATAAAGCTTAGATCTAGCTATCTAGAGCTGATAAAATGTAAGCTAGGTCAGACCATCAGAATGCAGCAGCCTTAATTGGAAATTAATTAGGCTATAATGAACAAGAAACAGGTTTCTATGTGTTTAATAACGCGAACCTAATCTGTCACGTCATACAACGAAATATAGGAGAGGTTTCCTTTTGGAAGACTTCCTAATAAGGTCAGAGCTTACTGCACTCCGCAAGCGCTTCAAGAATCTAGCTACTCTCCCGCAAGAGGTGACGTAAGAGTGGGACAAGCGAAATTAAATTAAGAGGGATTTACTAGACAAGCATGATAGATTATAGGGTCACATCATCTCACCACAGGTTCACACTTGCACGTAATACAGAGGGGAAGGTGGGAGGACTGGAGGGAGATGTGTAATTTACACTAAGTGTAATAAGTCTGACGTGACCTGAAGTTCTTCACCTCCGAGTGGAATTGGGAGCCTCAGAGGATCATTTATTAAATATTACAGCGTAACTGTGTCTGTGTGCCATAATTCAATCACAGTACAAGGGGCAACATTCAACCTCTCTGACGCGGACGTACATTAAACCGTCGGGCGGTGTCCTCTACAAAAAAGTCTGGTTAAAAAGTACAAAGTGTTTGACTACTGAACTTGTAAGTGTTCAGCTACACAAGCAAGCTGTCTATTGTCTAATGAGAGCACCTGACATGAACACTTACTGACACTGCAGAGCAGAGTACAGGTGCCACAGTGTGTGACATCACACAGGTATGTGATAAGTGTTAAAACATGACTTCTATCATAAAGTATGTAATGAATCTGGAATATATGTATTTTGAATTGAAAGCTCCGTGCCGCCCGACGGCCGACCCCTGAATTACAGTACAGAAGGAGGGGCCGCAGAATGGGGGGAGGGGGTCAGACTACACAACAGCAATATACAGCTGCAAACAACTCTATAAGTTGGAACATGCTAAGCTAGAACATGCTATGCAGTACATGCTATATGCATAGTATGGTAAGCAAAGGCGTGGTACTTATCATAAGCAATGAGATCGACTACTCTAAAAACAACGACCCAGTAATCAGTATAACAGACAGGGATCACATAAGGTCATAATACCCAGATAAGAGAAATAAATTGGTCTGTTTCAGAGAAATACTAGGATACTAGTATTTAGTATTTAGTACATAATATTACAATACTATTACGATGTGCCAAATACATCGGACGACGAAACAGTTGAGATTTTACGGCCTGAAAGAATCTTGAAAACGGAAAATAATTTAAATTCTCATCACAGAAGACGGGGCAGTATCGAGATAGCCCGACCACTGGTCCGCGGACCACTGTCCGCGGACCACTGTCTACCAGATCATATAACTGTATAATAACAGTATCCCCTGAATCAAGCAGGGTTCACATCATCCCCTGAATCACCTCCAGCCGATGTATTGCAGCCTAGTCCTCCAGTTGGGAGGCGGTGGGTCCATTAATTTCGTCCATTAGACAGAAGAGTACCATGTCAGGAATTGGAATAGTTGTTGTTGTTGATGATGGCAACTGATAATACTTCACCAAAAACGAACGACTTATATACCACATTTTAATCGTAATCATTTATTTCATTGAGCAATCAATATTATTCGTAACTAATTATATCCGAGAGACCACATTTGAATCGTAATCAATAGTTTGATCCAGTAATTTACTACGCTACAATTAATTATGCTAGTCGTAACTAATTGCATCCAAGATACCATACATACCATTCATGATGATGATCTGGTAACCAATCAACTATTCACATTATTATACAGTAATATGATCTGGTAGACAGTGGTCCGCGGACAGTGGTCCGCGGACCAGTGGTCGGGCTATCTCGATACTGCCGAAGACGGAGCAGGATCAACAGGCAGCCAGTCTGGAGCCGAGGTTTATATTAGATATGGAACCCACCATTGAGTACCCTAATATTCCACCACCGCCCCAGTTTAATATAGTTACTATTTACAGTAGTTTAACTTATCGGTATATTACAGTTCACAAACTGATCAAATTCCTAGCCGCACTTTCTACTCTAGGAAATGTTTCAGGAAATTCCAGTCTAACTTGTTGCCAAAATATCACAACGTACCAGGCGCACTAGTTGTGAGTTATCATATAACAGATGAAGTAGCAGCTAGTACATATCATATTTGTACTAATAAAATGGATGAAATCCTCACTTGTATCCAATAACTGATTACCACCTAGTTATAATAAATTATAACAAGAGTACACAATACACATTGACTATTTGGCAGAATGGCACTAAAAAAAGCACCGTAATACGTTTAAAGGCCCCATATTATCAGGTATTGCATTTAGACTAATCGATCACATTACCACATAACCGAATAGTATTATTTGCATGAACCGAGTGTTTCACAACTCAGCATAAAAGCTATTTGGCATTTAAAATACTTTCTGAATCTCCTAGCATTTTTATATGGCTTAGTTTCGACTTATCAAGCTTTCGAATGCATACTAACCGAACAGTACTGTTAGAACACAGCACAGCGGGTTTAAGAGACATGGCAGATAGCCAGCAACCAGAACCAGCTGTACAAGGAAGCTAGTTTCAGCATTGGTCTGATAGGAGTACAGGTACAGTTCACCCTGGCTTAAATTATCCCCCAAGAAATGGGCGTGTTGAGTAATTACTAATTACTTTGTCCTGATGTTGTTACATAGCAAGTTGTTACACAGCGTGAAAGTAGACGAGATTGTTGCCACCCAGACTGAAACCCCCCAATTCTAGTGGTTTCTGATGATTACAACTGAGCAACTGTTTAAAGGACCTTTAAACGGGGATTGGTGACAGAGCATTGGGGGGGGGGGGGGGACTTACCAGGGTTACCAGGGTTACCTGGGTTACCAGGGTTACCAGGGTTACCTGGGTTACCAGGGTTACCAGGGTTCTGGTGGAGTATCCTGTTTATCCCACAAATGGTACCCACTAATACCATTAGTAATTGTAACAAGCCACTACTACTATGTTCCACCACCAAGATGGGCCTAAATAAGCACCAATTTACTAAATACCATCGCTACTAAATTTGGGCTAATTTGGCCGGTAATATTTTGTGATTTGAGGCAACAGCATGGCAGAGCTTTCATAGTAAACACTTTCCTACCTTTACGGATAAAACCGAAGCTAAAATGCACAGACACTGTTGTATGTTAGATCAATAATATGGAAATTATTTATTTAAAACAACAAGAAAGTTCAGGATAATCGAATACCAGCAGCATAAGCTCAATCCTGAACCAGCTTGATAAGTGAGATATTGAAGCCAGATATTCTAACGAGCTTAACTAGGCTATCAGTCAGCAAGCATATCAGAGAAGATATTATCTGGTTAGGAGAGTGTGGAACACTGACTTAAACATCGCTACAACACACCGGGAACATCGCTACAACACACCGGGAACATCGCTACAACACACCGGGAACATCGCTACAACACACCGGGAACATCGCTACAACACACCGGGAACATCGCTACAACACACCGGGAACATCGCTACAACACACCGGGAACATCGCTACAACACACCGGGAACATCGCTACAACACACCGGGAACATCGCTACAACACACCGGGAACATCGCTACAACACACCGGGAACATCGCTACAGCACACCGGGAACATCGCTACAACACTACAACACGCAGCTGAGTGTTAACAAATATTAAGGTGGGTCCTCCTCTTACCAAGCCGCTACTCTTCAAATTAGAGGAACTAGTCTAACAGTCTAACTAGTCTAACTAGTCTAAGAGTACCTTGACTGAGTACTGCAAGTAAAGTAAGGTGTACACTGTAACTAACCAAGCTGAATAATGCAGTGGCTATAATAGCAAGCTACTAGCAGAGTATCGTCTAATTAGTTATCCAAAGGGTACCGGAGGTGTAGTATAATAAGCTAGTAATATTATTCAGGGTACGCTATTGTTCTTCATACATATAAACAAGGAAGGTAAACTTAAAGGAAAGAAGGTTGACTAGGTAGACTTACAAGGCTAGTTGAAGTGTTTATGTAACACTATGTATAGTATTATATAGGTCTACACTGGCTGATTATACCTATTCTATGTAGTATGTTTGTAGTATGATTTAAGCTATGAACTAGAGAACTAGACAGTTTAGACTTTAGTGCGTATATACTCTGGAACAAGCTCGGAA